TTTTAAGTCTACCCCTGCAAAGCCACCAATTCATTTCTTTCAGATGCGAGTGCCTCGTGGCTTTCTGGTGAGGATCCCGGCTCAAAGACCCCTCCGGGACCTGTACATTGGGTGTGATGTCCTGGGTGCCTACCCATGTGGGGCCCCCAGGTGGGGTGTCCCCAGCCCATCCTGAAGCCTGACGTCCTGTTTGTGGAAGATTTTGGGGTGGGGGACAATTAGAATACATTATTCAGGTTTAGGCCAGATCTTTGGAAGAGATGGGCAGACCCACACTGCCTTTAAGCTTTGTTGCTGTTTTTAAGCTCCATCCAGAAGGCTCCTACTGAGCAACAGAGGTTCTCTATGTTGGGACCCTTTGTTTGACGGTGACAGTTTTAGGCCTACTGAAATGTGATTATAATCAGAATTGATTTCTTGACAGCACAGTTATTGTGTCCCACTCTTGCAGATACGGTCTTCTAACTAGGCCTGTCTGCTATCAACTTTTATTACTGGAATTATTTGGATTTCGATTATCCAAGGGGAATTCCTATACCCATATTGGTTTCCCTCAACACCTCCCCTAGAGTTATGCATCTCAGAGAATGTAGACACTTTTTCACATCAATCGAAGCCAACTGTAGATGAGAAAACTCTGTGAATGGAATTGGTACCCTCCGTGAACTCAGATATGTATCTTTCCTGGCTTTGCTGGAAGCATGACCCATGGGTGGTAGTTGTGGGGACAGAAGCAGGACTAGGCCCCTCTAGATATGAGTCCTGGATGTTTCCTGGGTCATTTTCAAAGCTTATGCTGATCCCCATGTTCTTGAAAGTGGCAAGGAAGATTCCAAATACAGATTTTCTCCTGACATACTCAAGTGGTGACCCAAGCCATGTGACTCCTGTGCCCGCCTCACTCACATTAACTGCCTTTCCTCTCCCCACTGAAGAGCGCTCTCTCATGAGTGATTTCCACTCACTGGAGCACTTGCCAGAAGATTCTCTCAGCTGTGCCTTGTTTCCATAGATGGCACCAAAAGGGCTCATTCGTATCCTACATCCAAGCCACCACCCCGCTGAGATTCCAGCCCTTGTCTGCCTTCTGGCCCAGAACATTAGTGTCACAGACCTCTTACTTTCCATTTCCATCCCCAACACCGGCACTTGCTGTCACTTTTGGAGGCATTTCTCACAAAGTTGTTGTGTTTGGTTTTGGTTTTGTCCCTTTGTAAGAATGACCAAATTCACAGGAGTAATGAAGGAACATTGGACGACTCCCCACCCCCACCCCCACCCGCCCGACATGCAGATGCTAGGCCCTCTTACAAACATGCTGAAATCTGACTGGCCATGTCATCCACGCTGCCACATGGGGTACAGTCCCAGCTTGTACCTCCACAGAGTGACACGTCATGATAGGTGGAGCCTGGCCGTTTGAACCCACTGGGGTTCATCTGCAGATACTGGGATCTCCTCTAGAGTAAGCTGCTCTCTGCACAGGCATGGCCCACCTGGTTAGGCCTAAACACACCGCCTGAGTTACCCACATTAGAATATAGTGCAATAAAATATAGTATGTTACTACCAAAACTATACGAGAGATAATGGTTTTGTTTTTCTGTGTTTGAAGATATTTCAGAATCGTGCAGTCTCTTGGTTTGGGCGTGCTCATGGTAAATTCTCTGAAGGAAAGGGCACGGGGTGGGGGCGGGGTGTACAGAACAGAGGCACAGGGGTGCTCTGACCACCCTCCCATCCCCTGGGAGCCCCCTATGGCTGGGTTGGGGGCATGCTTCCTCTCAGATCTGGGACAGGTGTGTGTCATACCACGCTGAGAATCCCATGTGATCTAGGTGTACATTGGCAAAGGCCGAAAGTGAGCCTGCCATTTCCTTCTACTTTCTAAGCTAATTGCTGGGGGCTTTTGCAACCTTTTAAATAATAAATATTAAGAATCTTTGAACAACTGTCAGCTCTCAAATAAAACAATGGAAGTGGTGGGGCAGTGCGTCCTTTTGATGAGCTAGTTCCTTCCCATTGTGCTTGGCGCAGGGTAGTTACTCAGTCACAGTCTCCAGGAAGGCAGGGACCTTCATCAGAGGCAGCGTAACACAGAGGTCGAGAGCACGGACTGCTGAGGTGCAAATCCTAGTCCTGTCACTTCCTGCTGTGTGACCTCAAGCAAATTACTTAACCTCTCAGTGCCTCCCTGTCCTCATCTGTAAAGAGAGTTATAATAGTTCCTAACTCATAGGGTTCCTGGACTTGAATGAGTTAATGTAGAGAGTGCGTAGAACAGTGCCTGTACTTATGATTGTGCTTTTGTGACTGTCATTATTAGCAGCAGCAGCCATACACCGCTCCCCACAGGGCTTACTGCTGGTCTCTGTGCCTCACGGGTATTCAGGAAAGACTGCTGAGAGCCTTTTGACTAGCCTAGCATTGCTAATCTGGGATCCGTCCAGCCCCCAGGTCACTCCCTGCCACATGACCAGTCATAGAGCTGTAGAGACTGTCTAGTATTATACAAAAGACAGGACCACTTGTCCCTACTGCATTAGCCCTCTCTGAAGGAACAGTTAGAGGCACAATCAGCCACGTGGCTGAGTTGCCGTGGAGCTGAAGCTGCAGTTCTGTCTCATTTAGGATAGATCAGTTCTGCGCCAAATGCTTGCTTGTTGCCTTTGAAAAGGACATTAAAGGCCCCCTTACGTAGTGGCCTTTCTGCATTGCTCTTCATATGATTTTTATGTAAGGGAATTACTGGCCCACTGTTTTCCAGAGAAAACCAGATAGCTGACACTACCACATTCTCCAGAGACTCCTGAGATCCATGCCCTGCTCATTACCATTTGCCAATCTCCTAGAAGAACTAAGAAGGCCTTACCTAGAATGCAGTGTTTTTTTCCTCAAAAGCCCAAGCAGGCAGCCCATGCACAACTTTTATTGATCCATCGTCATCTGGGCAGCAGCTGCTCGGGCTTTGTGAGCCCCGCTCTCTGTAGCTCGGCCCATCACAAGCGCAGATTTTCGTGTCTGCTTTCAATTGTAGAAAGAAACTGTATCTCCCGGTGAAGTACAGTTCCGGCTCGGAGAGGCTTCATCACAGCACTGACATGAAAAGACAAACAGAAATCTGACTCGCTATGTTATCCATCCAATAAAAAAACCACCCAAGGGGACAGGAAGAGATATTCATCACGTCCCAGCAACTCAGCAAAGCCTGCAAGTTCAAGTGCAATATTTCTAGGTGGATTTAGAAAACCTTTCCTTGGCAAAGCAAAGAGTTCTCCTGACGACTTGTTTCATCAGTGGGCCAGCCTGTCTGGGTTAGAACAAAGGAATTCTGCCCTTCTGATTCGGGCCGGATACTGGTTTTCTGCTTTCCGGGCAGCTCGTGTACCATTGTGGAAGTTTGAACACTTTTCCATAAGTTTGCAGAACTTCCTCTTCATGTTGCCTGGATTTGCCTTTATTTGTAGTCAAGCTTTGGTTACGGAGGTGACCTTTTACCCTGGTTTAGCATGAGCAGCATAGTAGCATTGGCTTGAAAAGAGATGCAAGAGATGACAATGGGATTATTCAGTAGGTTTGTCACTAGAGAACTTATCTGTTACATAGGGCATGCAGATTTTTTAAAAATGAAATTTCTACTTTAGCAAATGTGTGCCTTTGTGTCTGTTACAGCATCTACAATAGCTAAAATTTTGGAGCACCTTTGTTAGTATGTCTTGTTTCTTTCCAGTATCTTATTTTTCCAGAAAGTTCTTTCAGTTAATGAAGGTTCCATGAAACAGGCAGAGATGGAAACCTTTGCTGCAGTGTGAACTTAAAAGGAATATTTTAGGGAAAGCGTGGTTTGATTAGAATTTCAGCAGGTAGGGAAAATCTGCCACTTAAAATGTCTTCCCTCTGCATTTGGAAATTTCAGCCTTCCCTTATATAAGTGAGTGGAACAGGTGATTATTTTTCTTACTGAGAAGCTAGGGGTAGACTTAGCCAGACTTCTTGGGTTCTGTCAAGTTGATCTGAGCTGACAGTGAGGCACAGCACGTAACGTTGATGAGTTCCTCAGGGATCGCTCCTGTGCGTAATTGTTGTAATTCTAATATTTAACGGTGCACATGGTATGGTAAAGAATGAGGACGCATATGTGATTTAAAACTACACACATGGTGATGGGAGAGGTGATTCTGTCCCCTGCCGTTTACCGAGAATCTGTCACAGCAGCACTGCCTGTGGCTCTGGTTGTAGAGTGAATGAAGCTTACAGTCCACAGAGGGAGAAACAGCCAGGTCTCCAGCAGACAAGTCTCCTTGTCATGACAGCTCAGCTGATCATGTTCACAGAGCAAGATGAGAGGCGGCATCAACTGTGCCTAGCTCGGCTCAGAAGGTGTGGAAGGTGGGCTGGTCCCCCCAGAGTCACCTGTGGCCATCTTCTTCCTCATTTTGAAAACAGACATCACCACCATTCCGCCCACCTCTTGGGATGATGTGAAGATGAATGCAGTTATGATCTACTTTAGACTTGTCAGAGGTCAAATATTGTGTTTGTTCCTCCTTGATTTGCTGCTTTTCTTGTCGTCTTCTACTGCTCACAAGACTTGCAGCAGAAGACAGGCCTGGGAAGAGAATGGGCATAAACTGAGGCCAAACATTGTGGGCCCAGTTTGCAGCTCAAGGATAAAGGTTGTTAGACGAGGCCGACACAGAGAGGGCAGGCGAATTTAAGGGAGGGCAAATGTCCTCGGACTCAAAGTCAGGGCTCTCTGAACTATATTCATTCCTTTGAGAAAATGCTGTATAAATGCATGGTAACAGAAGTCAGAAAAGAAGAATACTTGCAGTTTACTGAAAGGGATCAGAATCTTCTGGTGACATCTCAGTGTTTAGCAAAGAAGGAGTAGGTGTCTCAGAGGAGACAAAGAACGACAGTCTCAGATTTGCCTTCAGAATGCTGATCTTTCATATTTTTTGTAAGCTTTATTTAATTTTCCTTCTTTTTTTTTTCAGAATGAAGTTGGCCTACTGGAGTTCTTCCAGAATGTGATAAAAGAAACTAGGGCAGAGCCCAAATTGGTGACTAGCTGGGTCCTCAACACTTTTCTGGGTTATTTAAAGCAGCAGAACTTGGCCGTCAGTGAGAGGTGAGTGAGGGCTGAGGTTTCTTTTTTCCTTTATGATAAACTCTGTGTCCAGAAGCAGTTGAAATAGGGCAGGCCCAGTGTTTTTCTGTCCCCATTTCCCCACAGGATAGCCTGACAAGAAGACAAACATCCCCTGTGAATTCCAGGTCCTAAAGACACCCTCCATTCCATTTGAAATGCACTCATTTATTCAGCTGTCTGACTGTGCACTCTGCCCTTTGTGCCATGCTAGGGACTAGGGGCTTGAAGGTGAATTTAAGATGAGGAATTTACATACCTGTGGGGGATACAGATCGGTGAGAAAACTGACAGTCCCCTCAGTGTGACCGTGTTATGCTAGAGGTGTGCACAGGGTACCCTGAATGACCACAGAGGGACCTGAACTGAGGCTAGGGAAATCAACCAGGGTTCCTTCAGAAGGGTGCGGGAGTTGGCCAAGCCTGAAGACCCAGTGGGAGTCGCCAAGTCGGGGGAGGGAGGGGCTCCCTGACAAAGGAAGCAGTAGTACGAGACTCAGAGATAAGCGGGTATGGCAGGCTCAGGAAACACAGAAGCTCCATGGTAGCAAGGCCAGCAGACAGGAAAGGTAGCAGGAAAGCTGGAGAGATGGCGAGGGTCCCCAGAGGGCTTTGTAGGTCTTTGTCACTGGCTCTTGAAAGCCATAGACCACAGGTTGACTCCTGTTTCAGTGTGAGGGAATGGGGTGGAAAAACAGCCTGGATGCAGGGAGACCACTTGGGACCCTCTTATAGAAATGCCAAATGAGAAGTGGGACAGTCTGGACCCAGGTGGTGATGGCAGGGCTGAAGAGAAGTCAACCAAGTGGAGGGAGAGTGTTGCACATGGGCAGGACTCCTAGATTTCTTGTGTGGGCAGCAGGGTGAAATGGAGGGCAGTGTTCTGGTGATGATGAGCAGGCGGTCAGATACACGGATCTGCAGCTTTCTAGAGCTATCTGGGAGGCAAGAATTTGAGAGTTCTCATTTTCTCATTCAGCACGTGTTTATTCAGTCTCTGCTATGTGTAAAGCTCCGTGCTAAGCACTGGAGAAAACCAGCCAACGAGGCAGCCATGGTCCCTGCTCCCAAGCAGCTGACAGTCTAGAAGCTGATGATTACACAGCAGTGCGGGGGTGCTCTGAGAAGGAGGAGAAAGTCACGGCTAAGCTACGGCCTGAGCAGAGGATGATAGGGTTAGTCAGAGTTAAAGGGGCGCAGGGAACAGCTCGTGTGAAAATCTGAGGGGAGTCTGAGCATGACATTTGGGAATGCAAGTCCATAGTCCAGTATAAGTGGTAGCTGGAGTTTGCAGCATAGAGGTGTCGCTGAAGTCGTCGGGGTGGATGAGCACTGTCAGGGAGGAGACAGTGTAAAAGATGGACAAGGAAGGAGCCTGAGACACCCTAGCCTGTTACTGAGGAGATGGGCAGAGAACAAGGAAGGTGAGAAGCAATGGCAGAGAAGTAGGAGGAAGGCTAGCAGGGTGGTGTCCCAGAAGCCATAGAAAAGGCAAGTTTCAAGAAGGAAAGACAGAGCAGCAGTTTAGATGTGGGGAGTGGGACAGGGAGAGTTCCCTAGGGACCCACAGGCAGATTATGGCCACTGTCAGGGGCCCAGTGGGAGGTGGAGCCCAGTCTGGTGGGCATGCTACCATCTCAGCAGCACCCTGGCCGTGGAGATGTGGAAGGGAGAAGACAGACATGTATTGATACATGATTCCAAAACAAGTCATTTGCTGAAAGAAGTTAGTCTGTACAACACCAACTTCATGGTCAGCCTCTTGCTGTCAGTGTATACATGCATGTAGTTATGTGGTTATGTGGGGTCCATTCACTTCCTACTTGGCTACTTACCAGCAGTGACCTTGGATAAGTTTGCCTCTGTGCGCCTCAGTTTCCTCCCTATAAAATGAAGGTGCCAATACCTGCCTCCGAGAGCTTTAAAGAGGAAAAGGCACAGTGCCTGGCACATAGTGGGCCCTCAGTGTTAACCCCCTTCTCTTTGCCATGTTGTTGCCAAAACAATGGCCGCCGTCAGCCCAGGGTGACTGGCCTCCTCCTGAGCAACAATGGCATCTGTTGCCTTCTGGTCTTTCACTAATGTCCTTCCAGGTTTGACCTCACCATTCAGAAGCTTCAGTGTTGACACTGAAAATACTGTGGACATTCAGGGAAGGATCGCTAGGCTGGAGCCATCTGGAGGAGCTGATGGAGAAGATAGAACCCTACCTGAGCCTTAGAGGATGGGTAGGATTTGGGGAGGGAGAGCACTAGGTGGCACCAGTAGGGAGCAGATGTGAGCCAAGACATGGGGATGGCAAACCACTGACTTGTTTTTGGAATGGGAGGAGCATAGCTGGTAGAAGCAGAGGGTGGAAAATGTCAGAGAAGCAAGGTTGGCGATATAAGTGGAGCAGAGCCAGAATGTGAAGGATCTGGAAAGTCAGAGAGGGATTCAGCGGTGAGTCCAGTAAGCAGGTCTAGAGTGCCACTTTGTGCAGTGTGTGTGCAGAGAGGAGCAGGACCCAGTCCCAGCCTTAAGCTGTCAGTCTCCTGGGGAGGACTGGACTTGTACATCAATATTATAATTCAAGGCAGAATGGGATGCTTCATGTTTTAGCACTATACAGAGTAATATTAGCCAGAAGATGCCTGGAAGGCTCTGAGAAGATGTGGTGTTTGAGCATCTAGATGGAATATAAATCCCTTATTTTTAAAATTATGGTTTTCCATGTTGGTTATGGGTCATAGAGTTGCAAATTTTAGACTTAGAAGAGAACTTAGATGTCTTCTGGTTCAACCCTTTCCTTCAGCAGATGAGGAAATGGAGGCCTTAAAGGGCCAGTGACTTTCCTCAGGTTGTGCAGCTGCTAGACTGGAATCCATGTCTACTGACCTTCAGATCAGTTTCTTTGTATGGTGGTCTTCGAAGTTGAGGGTTTGCCCATCGACCACGTTGTCTGGTAGCTTCTAAAGGAGCTGAGGGTGATAAACTAGCCTGTCAAGTGAACTTGGTGCCCCTGGTATTTGCCCAAACAACTCATAAGTACTGGAGTTGTTCTTTTTTAATTTTAAAAATTTATTGCATCTAGAAACCTATTCATTTCTAAATTAATAAATACAAATAATTAATATGATCTTGTCTTCCTATAGTTTATAATACAAAGTATGAATTAAGTGTCCTGCCAAAGAATGTTAATTTAGCCATTAAAATAAATTAGAGTATGAAAGAGATTAATACAACCTTATCATCCATGTTTTCTATTGGCTAGCGATAAACAATCAAAGCAAGATTGACCACTGCACAGAACTTAGACTCAAAATTTAAGTTTTTGCAGGTCTCATTACTTTTTTTTTCTTTTTTTAATTGTTGTGCTTTAAGTGAAAGTTTACAATTCAAGTTAGTCTCTCATATAAAAATTTATACATACATTGTTTTGTGACTCTACTTGCTGTCCCTATACTGTGACAGCACACTCTTCCTTTCCACCCCGGATTTCCCGTGTCCATTCAACAAGCTCCTGACCCTCTCTGCCTTCTCATCTCACCTCTGGACAGAAGCTGCCCATTTAGTCTCATGTATCTACTTGAGCTGAGAAGCACACTCTTCACGAGTATCATTTTATGTCCCATAGTCCAGTCTAATCTTTGTCTGAAAGAGTTGGCCTTGGGAGTGGTTTTAGTTTGGGGCTAGCAGAGTCCCTCCAGTCTCAATCAAACCATTAAGTCTGGTCTTTTTACTAGAATTTAGTTCTGCACCCCACTTTTCTCCTGCTCCATCAGGGACTCTCTGTTGTGTTCCCTGTCAGGGCAATCATTGTGGTAGCCTGGCACCATCTAGTTCTTCGGGTCGCAGGCTGATGAAATCTCTGGTTTATGTGGCCCTTTCTGTCTCTTGGGCTAATACTTGTGACTTTGGTGTTCTTCATTCTCCTTTACTCCAGGTGGGTTGGGACCAATTGATGCATCTTAGATGGCCGCTCGCTAGGTTTTAAGACCCCAGAAGCCACTCACCAAAGTAGGATGCAGAACATTTTCTTAAAAAACTTTGTTATGCCAGTTGACCTAGATGTCCCCTGAAAGCATGATCCCCAGGCCCCCGCCTCTGCTACTCTGTCCCTTGAAGTGTTTGGTTGTATTCAGGAAACTTCTTAGCTTTGGTTTGATCCAGTTGTGCTGACTTCCATAGTGTGTACTGTCCTTCCCTTCACCTAAGATAATTCTTGTCTACTTTCTAGTTAGTGAATACCCCTCTCCCTCCCTTCCTACCCTCATAACCATCCAAGAACGTTGTCTTCTGTGTTTAAACCTTTTCTTGGGTTCTTATAATAGTGGTCTTATACAATATTTGTCCTTTTGCAACTGACTAATTTCACTCAGCATAATGCCTTCCAGATTCATCCATGTTATGAGATGTTTCACGGATTCATCATTTTTCTTTATCATTGCATAGTATTCCATTGTGTGAACATATCATAATTTGTTTATCCATTCATATGTTGATGGACACCTAAGTTGTTTCCATCTTTTTGCTATCGTGAACAATGCTGCAATGAATATGGGTGTGCATATGTCTATTTGTGTGACAGGTGTTAATTCTTTAGGATATATTTCAAGGAGTGGGATTGCTGGATTTTATGGTACTTCTATTTCTAGCTATTTAAGGAAGCGCCAAATCAATTTCCAAAGTGGTTGTACCATTTTACATTCCCACCAACAGTGGATAAGTGTTCCACTCTCTCTACCATTTATTATTTTGTGTTTTTTAGATTAATGCTAGCCTTGTTGGGGTGAGATGGTATCTCATTGTAGTTTTGATTTGCATTTCTCTAATGGCTAATGATCATGAGCATTTTCTCAAGTATCTGTTAGCCTCCTGAATGTCTTCTTTGGCGAAGTGCCTGTTCATATCCTTTGCCCATTTTTTAAATTGGGTTGTTTGTCTTTTTGTTGTTGAGGTTTTGCAGTTATCTTGTAGATTTTAGAGATTAGACGCTGATCAGATTTGTCGTATCCAAAATTTTTTTCCCAGTCTGTAGGTTGTCTTTTGACTGTTTTGGGGAAGTCTTTTGAGGAGCATTTAAGTGTTTGATTTTTAGGAGCTCCCATTTATCTAATTTCTCTTCTGGTGTTTGTGCATTGTTACCTATGGTTTGTCTTCTGTTTATGCCATATATTAGGGCTCCTAGCATTGTCCCTATTTTTTCATCCATGATCTTTATTGTTTTAGATTTTATATTTAGGTCTTTGATCCATTTTGAGTTCATTTTTGTGCATGGTGTGAGGTTTGGGTCTTGTTTCAGTTTTTTGCAGATGGATATCCAGTTCTGCCAGCACCATTTGTTAAAGAGACTGTCTTTTCGTGAATTAGTGGACTTTGGGCCTTTGTCAAATATCAGCTGCTCACAGGTGGATGAATTTATGTGTGGATTCTCAATTCTGTTCCATTGGTCTATGTATCTGTTGTTGTACCAGTACCAGGCCGTTTTGACTACCGTGGTGGTATAATAGGTTCTAAAATCAGGTAGTGTGAGGCCTCCCACTTTGTTCTTCTTCTTGAGTAATGCTTTACTTATCCG